TGCTGCCATCACCATACACATCTAGGGCCCTTTATGCTTAAGTCCTCTGGCAAAATTAGGGAAGGGTTTCAGGGCCCAAAAGGAGAATGGATAATTATCTGCTATTTTTTTCAACATGCCCTACCGCTGGTCGATTGACTCAACCCTCTGGTTTTCTCTGTAACCACATCAGAATCCTGGAACCCTGGAAACTTCTGGGGTTACCCTGAGCACTTCCTGCCTTTCTGAGGACAAGTTATCCACTAAAGGGTGGCCTGGTTGGGTTTGGGGCGCTTCCTCTCCCTCACACTGAGGCAATCATCCTCTTTCCAAAGAGGCAGGAATGACCCATCTTCAGGGATTCCCATCCATACTATCAGAGCCATAAGCCTCACCCCTAGGCCTCAACTAGACAGTTATATGATGCCATGAGCACAGGGTCTTCCAATAGCAGGACTATCACTTCAAATCTTCTCCCTACTGACAGCTCTTCTTCAAAGACAAGCTGTGAAAACGCAGACTAAAGCAACGGTTCTCAAAGTGTGGTTTCCTGACTGGCAGCATGGGCATCACCTGGGAACTTGTTAGAAAGGCAAATTATTGAGTTTCACCTCAGCTCTGCTAAATCATAAACTCTGGGAGTGGGGGCCAGCAATCTGTTTTAATAGCCCTTCCAGGCAACTCTCATGCAAGCTCAAATTCCAAAACGACCGAGCTAGGAGCAACAGTGCCCAGATTTTCAAGGGCAGATTCCCTCGTCTCCGGCCCAGAGGTGATGAGTCGATCGAGGGTAGGACTCAGGAATGTGCTGCAGACGCCCGAGGCATTTGGTCCAAGGCCCCGGCGAGCACAGGGGTACTTCCTAGGATCCTGGGGTGACGCCAGGAGGGCAGGCGCAGGCAGCAGCTATTCGAGGCTCCGTGCCCAGAGGCACAGCGACTTTGGTCAGGCGGTGTCTGTAGCTGAGTTAAGCCGCTGCGTCTCAGGGCGGGTCCCCGCCTTCTCACTCGCGTAGTGCGAGGCAGCGGCCGCGCCCCTCGCTTTGAGTTCATTCTCAACTCGCTCCCGCCGCTGCGAGACCTGCTTGGTGCTAAAACCACCCTTTCCCTCCCGAAACTTACGGAATGCCAACTCCCCGCCCCAAAGGCATTTCCGATTCCTAGTCAGAGTGGGGCTTGAAGGTCTATATTAAAAAGCAGCACTTGGCCACCCCCTCACCCCAGGTGACCCTGAGGCTCGGCCAGGTCTGGAAGCCAGTCATTTGTTTATGGATTAGAGTGATCAGCCTCAAGAGACTGCCTTACCCACTCCTCTTAGAAGGCGGAGGACTACTGGGTTCAGGCGCTCGCGGCACAGTCCCTGGGTACACACTGGTCCCTGGGCACAAAGTTGGGGCTCAAAAGGAGAAACTCTCCAGAAACCTAATTCATTA